GTAGTAGTAAAGACCACTTAATGGGGAGGGACAGGGGAAGTGCTGGGGAGTGATACTGGCTAAATTGTGCTGGTATATTGTGTATTGGGTGCATTTGTGAATATGTAACAACAAATCCCAGAAGTATTTACAACTATACTGCAACAATAAAAAATGTGTGTTGGGGGAAAGACCACTTATAAGGCACTTTTGGCACAGTCTAAGCTCCACAGTGAGTATGAGCAGAGGTGATTTTTAGCATTTGGAGAGCTCCAACTGAGCGATGGTGTTCATGAAGATCTTGAGTTGTTGCCTTTTCTCCCGAGGCAGCTGGAGATTACTTCATTGACTCTGTTCTTCTCTGAATGGAAAAGGCAAGCTCCAGTGAATTTAGCACAGTGGTTCTCAGCTACTGCAATAGAATCTGCTGGGGAGATTTTCACTTAATTGGTTTGAGGTGAGACCCCAGCAACAGCGTTTTGAAAACTCCCCAGGTTCTATTCTAATGTGTAGTAGCTAGGGTTGAGAACCACCGCTAATGCAATCAATGTGCAATCTCTTTCAGTCAGGAATTTCAGTATAAACTGCCTCAGTGCTTCCAAATGTGCACAGGAACCACCTGGGGGATCCTGTTAAATACAGGTTCAGGAGGTCTGGGGTGGGGCTGGAGGTTCTGCATGTTTAATAAGCTCTCAGGTGATGTTGAGGTTGCTGGTCACTAGACCACACTTGAGTGGCTTGAGCTTGTTAGTCGAAGCAAAAAGCACTGACCTACCCCAGTCCAGCGTCAATAAGCATGCTCCTGCCAAGGTCCTGCTCTCTGGCAGAATTTGCTTAGTGTACTAGAAAGAATGCTTGGGTCAAGTGACCTGCTTTCCACTTCCAGCTCTGCCCCTAATTAGCTGAAAAACAAGTTTCTTAGAAGTGCTTCAATCCTTCACCCTCTTATCTGTAAAAGGAGAGGGTTGAACTGGGTAAACTGTGAGGTTCCCTTTGTTCTTACATCCTCCCATGCTGATCCAGGATGTTTTTAGGCTCTGTCTGGATCAGGTTTTTATGTGTTATGGCAGTCTGAATTCTGCAGTTAAGATCCTGGATTCCCTTAGGTCCTGGGACCTATGCCCTGAGTTTATGATCTAGTGGGGGAAATAAAACTAACAAATGTTAAAAAATTAAAGAAGAGCCAAATGTTAAATTGTAAACCATGGTAAATACATAAACTAGAGAGGATTGTTGATTCTGACAGGGGAAACTTTAGTATGATGGGGAGATTTTAGTTAAACATTGTTTACTGGGTTAGATGGACCAAAGAGTGGACTTAGGGTGATGGTTCTCATGCTTTTACATTTGGTTGTTGTCTCTACAAAAACATCCTATGGCAGTGAAGATCAAAACCCACTATTCTACTTTAAATGAAAATAATATGGGAAAAAGACCTTCTTATATGGAAATTAGTATTTGAAGGGAAATAAAAATGCTAAAACTCTCCTTTTTCTAATAATGTTTTCCTTCTTTGTTTTTCAGTACTGGGCTTGAACTTAGGGCCTTTAGCATGCTAGGTATTCTATCACTCTCCTTTTTCTATGTTTGATTTTTCAAGGCTATTCCTGTTAAGAGATTGGTGCTAAAAAAATCTTCATTACCAAATAAATACAGACTGAGTCAAAAATCCTGTGTGCTCCCTATAGATAATAATCAATAGATTTAAAAATCACCTAAAATGGAAATTAGTATAAGTAATATTGAAAATCACATATCTCTTTATCTTACCTCATTGGAAAAGAGACAAGATAATGTTTTTAGATTTTATAACAGGTACAGAGGAATTTTTTGTCTCCCCTTTTGGATTGGATCAAAGGAAAAGTGTTTTGCATTGTAATTAGTTTTACTAAATTGCATATTCACTTGAGAAGAGGTTGTATGACCAGTGTGCAGATAACACAAAATAGAATAGTTATTCTCATTTCATAATTATATTTAGTACACATGGTTTAGCTCTAACTGTTCTCTGAATACCTAAGAGTTTTTGTTTCTTCCTCTATTCCTAGATCATTTGGAAATTGCAGATTGCCACAAACACATACTGTTAGTTTTATTGTAGTTGATAAACCTTTCATATAATCAACTATTGATTATCTATCATAATGAGGGTGACAATACAATAGAGGAGAATTTTTCTATCTTTAAACTACTGTAAACACAATATGTCATTTAAAAACAAGATTATTTTTTTTCAAATGACAGAAAACTGAACTCATTGGGTGAAGCAAGGAAGGGACTTATAATGGGAAAATTTGAAGGTAGAACTAGCTTTGGGCATGGTGGTATGAATAGTGTAATTAGAATCTGGTCTCTCCACATCTCATGGCCTTGAATTCATCCACACTGACTTTTTTTCAGTTTCCATTTAATTACATGATGGCTGCTAAGGTTTTAACATTTTTTATTGCTGGGCACAGTGGTGCACACCTGTAATTCCAGTGGCTCAAGAGGCTGAGGCAGGAGGATTGCAAGTTCAAAGTTAGCCTTAGCAAATTAGTGAGGCCCTAAGCAACTTAGCAAGACCCTGTCTCTCTCTATATATTTTATAAATATATATAAAATTTATATATATATATTTTACATCCTTAGCCCGTGTGTGACACACGCACGGGCTAGGGATGTAAAAAAATACACACACACACACACACACACACACACGGGCTAGGGATGTGGCTCAGTGGTTAAGTGCCCCTGGGGTTCAAGCGCTGGTACCAAAAAGAGTTCTTGTTGAAATCCATTGGATAAGAAAATAGACCTCCCCCCCCTACATTCCCAAATCAAGTCTGGATTATACCATATTGGTTCAAATCAGTTGCTCTCCTGCATCTCTGTGGTCAAAAAGGCTAAGGCCTTGATTGGCCAGATCAGAGTCCTATATTCATCCTGGAGCTGGGGGTCATGTCTACACTAACAATGGAGAAGAGAATAAGTTCTTAGAGGAAAATGGTTTCCAAAAGAAGGGGGAATACGTGTTTGATGTAAAACAGTAGTAGCAATGATAAAAGTCACTATAGGCCTGAGGTTGTTGCTCAGTGGTAGAGCACTTGCCTGGCATGTGAGGCACTGGGTTTGATATTCAGCACCACATAACAATAAATAAATAAATAAAATAAAGTTATTGTGCCCAACTACAATTTAAAAAATAATAAAAAATAAAGTTATTGTGTTCATTTACAACTAAAAAATTAAAAAGATAAAGAGTCACTATGTATTAGCCTTAGATGGAATTTATCTAAAAAAACAGTCACTACATATATCTTTATCCACTTAATCCATTAAATATTAAATATTAAATTTGCATTGTCTAAATATAAAGGTTTCAGTGGTAGAGGGCCATCAGAGGGTTTGCTTTGAGGGTGGATACTATAGAAACTGCAGCATAAAGTAGTAATTTGAACCTACGAAATGCATAACCTTAATAAGAAAATTAAAAGTGATAGTATTGGATATCTGATAGTATATCTCATAGACAGGAGTGATAGTTAAGATATTTAATAACTTGTGACAGAGGCATCAACTAATTTGAGTTGGATTCAGTCAATCAGAACTTGTGCTGATTGCAAGCAGCAGGGTCCCTAAGTGAGTGCTAGCAGGTTGTCAGGCCAATCTGCTAGGAGGGTTTATTAAGGTGTCATCAAATCTCTTAAAAAATATGGTGACCATATTATTTTACTAGGGATGCCATAAAAAATACCACATACTGACTGAATTAAAATAACAGAAATATATTCTCTGATAAGTCTGGAGGCTAGAGGTCTGGAAGGATCATGCTGCCTCTGAAGGCTCTAGAGAAGACTCCTCCCTTGCCTCTTCCTAGCTTCTGGTGGTTGCTAGAAATCCTCAGCATTCCTTGGATTGTAGGTACACCACTCCAATCTCAATTTTCCTTGGACTTTCTAGGAATTCTGTGTGTTTGTGTCTCTGTATCCAAATTTCCTCCTTCTTGTAAAAGGATTAAGTAGCCACTTCTTATTTAACTTATTATTTTAATCCTGTTAAAACATGAATGTTGGTGTGACAATTTTGTGCAGAATTAATATTTCTTGTCATGTGAGTATGTTTGTGCATGGAGAAGTATTATATTCTTATACATGACTTTATTGAATTCAAGCAAGTTTTGCCTTAAACAATGCAACAGGCTACATTTAGACAAACATCAACCATTAGTCTATATAATAGCAAGTATAAGAAAAGCAGCAGAGAAATATAACTTGTGAGGGGCTCAGAAATCATCTTCCAAAGCATATATGAAAATGGTGGCAATTGTCTTTAAGTCTTTGAAGAAAAGTTCTGTAGAAAAGTGTTTAGATTCCAGAGGGCAGAACTAGAACTAGTAACTTAGAGGGAAACAGTCAATATAGTATGAGATAACCCTTTCTCCCTGTGCAGTGTACTGAAATGGAGGCAACTGTCATATGTCAGGGAGTAAGAAGTGCAGGTTCCCTGAAGCACTCAGGCAGATGCTGCATAATTACCTACCTCCCTGGGACAGTTAAAAGAGATCTTGCCTTGAAGAAGAGATGGATATACAAGGTCTCTTCTAGCTTTCAGATCTTTTGCAAATCCTCTGAAAATTTCTCTTTATAAAAGCTGTGGACATAATATTAACTATGTGACAAGATATTTCTGTAAGTTTAAATGCTTTTTAACATTTCCTAAGCTAAAGTTTTGCTGTCTGACCTCAGTGCTACTAGTGTGTGTATGTGGGATGGGGAGAGATGGAGTGAGGAGCAGTTTAAGTCAGGAAAAGGGAGTACATTAATACATGAAGAAGGTAAGGGAATAAAACTTTTATTTATTGAGTATCTACTCTCTGCAGGGTATATTGGACTGATTTTTTACTCGTTTCATCTCGTCTTATTCAATATACATACTTTTCTTTACTTGGCTTTGAACTTATGAGAAGTTGTAGCTCTTTGAGTGATGAATTCTTAAATTAATTGAATTTTTCTTTTGTATTCTATGGTGATGGAGCACAGGACTGTTCTGATGGTTACATGTGCAAAACGCATTTTCAAATAAAAAGTGGGACTATGGTGTCACATCCAGGAACATATGCTGGTGTACAGACATGTCCTCCTGTGGAGGTGAGTAGTTCAGTGCATCATGTTCTCCTTTTCAGTCTTGAGAAGTATAAATTTAAAAAATTGAATCTGGTTTATGTATGTATATGTTTTTTAAAAAAGTTAATTGCCATTGGGTTCTAGGTCTGTTGTAGGGGGAGGAGTGAGCACTATTTATAAGGAGGTATTTTCTTGTATAATATTAAAAACAGGATTTAAGGTAAAGTTAAGATCCACTGAGTCTATTTGATTGTAGTGAGCCTTCACACTTCAGGTTTCTCTTCTATTTAAAGACCACAGGTATATTCTGTTGCCTACTGATTTTGCTTTAGTGAAATTCCCTCATTATTATACACACTTATTCCTAGGAGGCTTAATACTCGACCAGAGAACTCTTGGCCTGGTTTACCTTTTGCTCTTTTCCTTAGCCACTTGAAAGTATACAGGATCTAGATCTCATTTTTTGGGAAATTTTAACTTTGACTTTAGAAACTTACTAAACTGGATTTTATTAAGCTTCTAATAGCTTGGTGGTTTTCTGGGATATTTTCAGTTTCTTTTTATCAAAATGCAGTATCCTTATTATATTTCTTATTAGTAATAGAAATTGTATATATCCATTATAAATAATAAACAATAGAGAAATATATCAATATATGGAAAGGGTAAAAAGAATCTGCCATTCTGGGCACAATGGAGCACACCTATAATCCCAGTGACGGAGGCTGAGGCTGGAGGATTGCAATTTCAAGGACAGCCTTGGCAACTTAATGAGACCTTGTCTCAAAAAAAAAAAAAAAGGACTGGGGATGTCTTGGTGGTAGAGTGTCCCTGGATTCAGTCCTCAGTAACAAACACACATATACTTACGTGTATATGCACACACACACATATGGACATACATGAAAATCTATCATGTACCCTTTGATAAATAGCAACTATTAATATTTTAGTAAATATTGTTCCACACATATCATACATGTTGTTTTTTGCTATAATAAGGATATCATGGATGTATTTCTGTCAGTAAATGCAGAATTCCATAGTTCTTTTTAATGGCTCCATGGCATTCCATTCTATGAATTCACCATAATTATGTGGAGCTCATACTAAGTAAAGCACTTGAATTTTGAAAGAATTGGTGGGATCCCATTTGTTTGAGCACAAGGGAAGAAATCTCTAATACTTGAATTCTGAGTATCCTAGTAAAATGGAAGAGGGGGATTTGGCAGGGGGGAGGGTGGTATAAAGCGGTCTTTCTCAGGATCTGTTAAATCAGTTCCATTTGGCAATCAGGCATTAATCCTTTCTGCCTGTGTCTGATGCTGGCCTGGAAGTATCTTTGTCCTGTATAATTTGATTTGCAAGGTATTCTAGAAGATATTGTGCTTGATAGTAAGCTAAGTGCCCCCAGGGTGAATGCTTGAATCTTGAGTACTGCTTCATGGTTCAAATAACCAGCATCAAATCTGAAGCCAAGCATGTTAGGAAACTTTTCAATTCATTATGTATTCACTTAAAATGTTAAAAGTTAACATAGAAATGATGATTTAAAAGATGAATTACCAGTTTTTGTCTAACAAGTTGGCAGAGATTTTAAAAGCACTAAAAAGTGGTGTTGACAGTGTGAGGAAACTGACACTTTCTGGTTGATGTTTTAACTTTACAAAGTTTAAAGTTGTGCACATGCTATGAATGATCTATTCAAATTCTAGGAATTTAGTCTCATAAAGTATAAATTTTTCCGACATTTGGGTTTTCCAGTAGTTGGGTTCATTGTCACTTATTCATATATGCACATAACATAATTTTCCTCTAATTCATTCCCCAGCACTTTCTCCTTTTATTCCTCCTCCTCCTCCTTTCTTCTACACTTCTGGTGTTCTTTCTATTTATTTACATATTTTTCCTTAGTGCATTATAATTGTACATAAAAGTGGGATTCATTGTGGTATATTTATACAATCATATGCATAATTTAGTCAGTTTTATTCTCCAGTTCTTCCCCTTTCCCTCTCTTCCTCTTTCCCCATTAATAACCTACCCCTACTCTACTCATCTCCACTCTATTTTCATGAGATCCCCCTTTTAAATTTCTTTTTCTCTCAGCTTCTACATGTGATAGAAAACATTTGACCATTGACTTACTGACTTATTTCACTTAGCATGATGTTTTCCAGTTCTATCCATTCCATTCTAGCAAATGACAAAAATATATATTTTGTATTTTATTCATTCATCTATTGATGGGTAGTTCCATAACTTTCTATTGTGAATTGAGCTGCTAAAAACATTGGAAGGCATGTTGTGCTATAGCATGCTGAACTCAAAGAACTCAAAAATAAATATCTTCTATCTGACTATACCTTCTGATTTGGTCCTGTTCAGAATCAGCTCACTTATAAGATCAAAATATGCTGATATAAGCTGAGTGATTGAGTTACTTGGAACTGATTTAATTCTAAAAGTTTTATTTTTATTAGAATAATATAATTATTTTTCAAGTAATTTACACAAAAAATTAAAAATGTTTAAAAAAAGGTTTGTAGTAAGTTTTCTGTCATTTATGTTTGTTAGAGTTGTCATAGGAATGGAATCAGATGATTCCATTCCAGCAAGAGCTCTTTGCTTCCAGTAAACTCCACTATTTATTTGTAATTGTTTGGTAACTCAGTAAATTTTGACTGCCTAACTTGGATTATAACAGCACAGTTAGAAGAAAGAGTCCTAGACTTGGAGTTGGAAGTTGTTTTTTGGAGTTCTCTCCGTCAAATACTAGCAGTGTAACCTTGGGTAAACCTTTTTTTCTCTTCACCTACTTACTTTTTCTTGTTTGGAAATAATAAGCATAAAGTGCTATCATTAATAATAATAAAGTATCTCATAGTTATGCCGTTATGATGAGGATGTGAATGGAGACAAGAAGCAGAGACTGTAATACTTCGTTCTGTATCATGTTCTGGTCTTGCCTTCTAGAGGCTGGGAATAACCTCCTAGTTGGAAGATAAGTTTTCTTCATTTACAACCAGTTGTATCTTATAGTGTTGCAGAGATAATTAAGAATGAATCTTGCTAAAAATAGTGGTAGATTAATTAGGACATCTAATGAATTTCATTTGAACTGCATATATAATGTCTTACTTTCCTATATCAATACTGAACAGAGTTGTAGTCTTTCCTTTTTTTTAATCATAGATTTAATCATATTTTTATTTATTAGGTAATATGATAAGAGAAATTTTCAAGTTTTTCATTTTTAATATCTTGGAATTAATTTTTTATCTTTTAAAAAAAATTTTTATTGTTGGTTGTTCAAAACATTACATAGTTCTTGATATATCATATTTCACACTTTGATTCAAGTGGGTTATGAACTCCCATTTTTACCCCGTATACAGATTGCAGAATCACATCAGTTACACATCCATTGATTTACATATTGCCATACTAGTGTCTGTTGTATTCTGCTGCCTTTCCTATCCTCTACTATCTCCCCTCCCCTCCCCTCCCCTAATTTTTTATCTTAATAGATGGTACTCCTATTTGTGGAATTAATAGAAAATATGATAATTTAGATACATGTTTAGGTAGAATGTAATTATATGAGGAATCTACTGTCTTAGAAATGCAATGGGCTGTTGATATTTTAAAAATTCAATATTTAAGCAGGTTTTATGAAGAGCATTGATTGTACTCAGAATAGAAGAACTCAAAGGATATATTATCCTAATTTGTGAAAATTATCAAACTTTCTATAAGTGTATTTATATAATAAAAACTGTCAGTCATGAAAAATTACTGGCATTCATGAACTTCATGACATTTTAAACAACTGTGTAAAAACCATTAGTTTTCATTTTCAACCACCACTTATCAAAAGATGCCTCAACTCTGTACTGAAGATTGATAAATTCATAGTGAAGACAGACTGTGGCATTAGGAAATAGAGTTCTCTTAATCCTAAAAAATAATGATCAAACAGCTAAAATTATTTTTCTATATATTTTTTCTAAGTTAATAGCTAACTGTATCTGTAGGTAGTTGAACACCCATACCAAAAGAATGTAATTATATGAATAAGTTATTTTCAACCTTGAGGGGAGAGTTTCTATGGGAGTTAGTACATCCATATTTTTATCAATCACTTTATCATATTCTCTTGTAACAAACATTTGTGTCAATATTAATGCCTTAGTGTACTAACATTTAATTCCCACAAAATAATACTTGTAATGGTAATGACCATTTATTGATTCCCTATGCTGTACCAATTTCTTATATTAGTTCTATATTAATTCACAAAACTGTGTGGCAATAGATATTAATCTGATTAATTTGTGAATAATGTTGGTTATGTTGATGAAAACATAGTTGGTAATAATAATAATGATGATAATATAATAATAATAAAGGCATCAATCTAACTTTATTGAGCACTAACTCCTGATACTGTTCTATGTGATTTGCATGAATTATTTAATTTCATCTTAAGATATGCATGCCTTTATTATTTTTATTTTACTTATAAGGAAACTGAGACACAGAAGTTAAGATGTTTTTCCTAAGTACAATATTGAAAAAATTTTAGTAAGAGATGTATTTGGGGTCTTTGTAGTTGTTAAATTAAAATGGAAAACCTAGCAAGGTTAGTTGTCTTCAGATATCTGGACGGCTGTCCTGTGAAAGAGTGTAGATTAACTTTGCTTGAGGATTAGTTCCAGTGTCCGAAAATTATTCTAGACAAATCTCTCTTGGTGTTGCCTGCAGTGAAATTGGTCAACTTAGAAAGCTGTGAGCTTCTTCCCTCCTAGTGGAGATGTTCAGCCACAGGGTGGATAACCCTCTCTCTGAAACAGTGGTTACAACTTAAATGCCCAGATGCTTAAAGAAGAATGGGCTGATGAGAGACTGAAGTGGGCCAGTTGGAAGTGATAGAGAAGTGGAGGGAGCATGGGGCATGCCTCCTTCAAAGGGCATCAGACATGCAGCTGCAGTTGCATTTTCAAGAGAAGGCAGAGATCTGG